TCTATTCCTTTCCTGTTCTGACTCCATAATCAACTTCTGATTGTAGTCATACAGCTTCAGAAGATTGTCCTTCATGGTAACTGAAAAACCTTTCTCAATTAATTGTCCCACACTCATCAGATTGCTTCTGATGCCAGGTACATACCACACGTTCTGAATCAATGCTGTTTTCCCATTGTTCAGAGTCACTCTGACATTTCCCATACCTTATGCATTAAGATATTTGTCATCAGCATATCTGATCTTTGACCTCTTTTCAGAGTCAAAGTCAATCAGCCATTTCTTGTTTCCAGTAAGATGATTTGAACAGCCAGTGTCCATATACCACCAGTCTGTCAGATCCATATCATCAGATTCAGAGGCCATCAATAGCACAGATTCGTCATCAGAACTTCTGACTATATTTGCTTCTTCTGATTTCTTCTCCTTGTTTGACCAACAATCTCTAGCAAAGTGACCAAACTTCTTACAACAGTAACATTGGATCTTCTTCTTGTCATACTTCTCTTTTCCCTTCTGAGCATTCTTTTGCCTATCAGAGATTGAACTTTCTGACTTCTGACCACCATCAGATCTTCTCTTGGCTTCTGACTGCTTCTGATACCTCCTATCAGAAGTTGCTTTCAGAGCCTGCTGCTCTACTTCCCTTTCAGAAGTTCTCTCAGTCAAACTCAACTCTTGCGCTTCTAAACTGCTCTGCAGCTCTTCAATTCTCATGGTACTCAAATCTTTGGAATGTTCTATTGCTACCACAATGTAATCAAATTGAGAGGTAAGGGATCTCAATACCTTCTCCATGATTGTTTCTTCAGAAAGAGTTTCTCCACACGCCTTCATCTCATTAGTGATCAGAATCACTCTGGAGATGTATTCAGAAACTTTCTCATTATTCTTCATGTTGAGATTCTCATATTGCTTTCTCAAGGACTGAAGCTTCACCTTCTTCATTGATGCGTCACCACCATAACATCTAACCAGTGTGTCCCACGCAGCCTTTGCTGTCGTTGAATCTACAATCTTCTCAAACACATTTACATCAACACATTGATGAATAAAGAATAATGCTTTCTGATCCTTCTTCCTTACTGCCTTCTGCGCGTTTTTCTGTTCATCTGTTGCATCTGCTGCTACCGGAACATAACCATCAGTGACAAGATCTAAAACATCTTGAGCACCAAACAGTACACGCATTTGGATCATCCAACAATTCAAGTTTTTACCGTCAAATACTGGAAGCTTGGTGTTCATGTTGCCGTTTCCGTTCATCTTCACCTTGCACAATACACTCAGATTTCTCACACAGTGTTTCCCAACCCACAGAATAAAATTTTGATCAGATTTTGTTCAAGATTCAACACGAATCTAAGAATCAAAATCAAACACACAAGACCTCACGTTCACTCGTGTTTCCCGTGTTTCCCAATGAATCTGAACTGGAGCTCTAGATACCAATTGTTGGTGCAAAGGTGAATAAATGATGAACAGAGAAAATATTCTATTAAGAATGACGGCTACGAAAACATGATAAAAGTTACAATGATTGTCACCCTATTTATAAGCTAAAACTAGGGTTACTAGAATAAGATAAAATACTAAAATATCCTCTAACAAACTTAGGGGCTAAGAAAATAGTACAACTAAATAAATATGAATTACTATTAATATTCTAATAAAGTTGTTTACTTCACTTAATAAATCATATTTAAAATCACAATTTGTTCAAAGATATATTTTTTTTCAAAAATGTTTTTTTTCTTGAATGTTATTTGAAAAAAAAATTTAATTTAAGTATTTTTTTATATTTTTGATATAAATTTTTTTTAATTAAATGATGAAACAGTTAAAATAATATTTTAAAAATAATTATTTAAATTAATATTTTTAAATATTTTTTTTCAAACAAAAATGTATAATACAATAAAAATCATTTAACAAAAAACTGAAATATTAAAAAATATTTTAGATATAAATAATTTTATTTGCCCAATGAGACAATCTTTGCTAACGCAGTTTAAATTTGTTTTTATTTAAAAAATAAAATTGTTGAAAATTAAGTAATAATTAATAAGCCATTTATGTTGTACACTAAAAAAATAAAAAATAAAAAAGTAAAACCATAAAATATACACCAAGAATAATTTAAAAAAGAAAAGAAATATATTTCATGGTTATGAAAATAGTGACATATGTGATGTAAAAAGAATATCAATCCATTATATAAAACTTAAAATTTGGATTTAGGGTTTGAATTTCAACAAGACTGGAATAAAAATATGGGAAACACTTTTTTCATCTTTATATAAGCATACCACACACTTGAAAACTCCGAGGACGCACTCAAACTACTACCAAAATGTGTAATTATAAGATACACTCCATTTAAAATAAAATATGATACCAAAATGTGTAATTATAAGATACACTCTATTTAAAATAAAATATGATCAGAAAATGCATTTTCGTACGATATTTAGGTGTATTCAAATATGCTTCTAAAGATAGTCCAACCTTTGAATGTTTTTGAAAGTTTCTTTAGGCCATATAGTGTTAGACAAATACCAAGAACACTTGCATATTTTGAGTTGCTACAAGATACTGTAATTGATTCTGAAGGAGAAGTCATACAGAGTGTCATGATGGTGGACTTTGAACCTATAAACATCAATGGGGATCTCAAGAAGAAGGTGTGGGTGAACTCTATGAAGGAAGAGCTTGAGGCCATTGAAACAAATAAGACATGATAATTGATTGTTTTACATCAGAACAAGAAAGTCATTAGTGTGAGATGCATTTTCAACATAAAACTAAAGCCAAATGGTTCACTTGCTAAACATAACGAAAGGTTAGTATCTAGAGAATTCTTACAAAAGTCTAGTTTAGACTACTTTGAAGTGTTTGCACCTGTAGCTAGACATGAATTATAAGGTTGGTTATTGCTATAGTTGCAAATATGATTTACCTCTAATACACGTAGATGTAAAGTCATCTTTTCTGAATGGTCTATTGCAAGAATAAGTTTATGTGTTACAAGCTCCTGTATTTGTGAAAGAGAACAAAGAAGGGATGGTGTACAAATTGTATAAGGCCTTGTACGGATTGAAATAAACTTCAAGTGCTTGGAATATTAATATTGATTCATCTTTCAAGCATCTTAGATTCAAAAAATGTAAAATAAAATATGGTGTGTATGTGCAACATACTTTTGATGGCAACATGATTCTGGTGTGTCTTTATGTGGATGACTTACTTTTGCTATGAAGTTGTACTTTTAAGATAAGCAAGTTCAAGAACATTCTGATGAATGCTTTTGATATGACTGATATGGAAAATATGGTATATTTTTCAGGGATGAAGAATTTTGCATTTTAAGAAAGGAATTATTGTGCACCAACTGAAGTATGAACTTGAGTTGCTAAAGAGATTTGAGTCGATGAATTGTAAGTCAGCAGTCACACATGCTGATACAAATCATAAGCTGGACTTTGTTTCTTATGGCGAGGATGTAAATGCTAACCTTCAAACAGTTGGTTGGCTGTCTGAGATATTTGTGTAAAACTAGACCTAAAATCTATTATGCAGTTGGAGTGGTGAGTAGGTTTATGAGTAAACTAGAGTGGTCACATTACCAAGCTGCAGTCAAGATTCTGAGGTATGTAAAAGGAACTCTGATGCATGGAATTTTGTTTCCATCTAGAGTGCCAGATGATATTGAGCTGATATGCTATTCAGAATTTGACTGGTGTGGAGGCAGAGTTGATAGAAGAAGCACTACAAGATACTTGTTTAAATACCAGGGAACCCCTATTTCTTGGTGTTCCAAGAAGCAACTACTAGTTACATTGTCTACTTGTAAAGCTGAATACATAATTGTACTCTGTCAGCTTGTCAGGCTGTTTGGCTGATGAATTTGCTGTAGGAGCTGAAGTTCAAGGTGAACAAACTAGTCAAGATGATGATAAATAACAAATCTTCCATAAGTCTTGCAAACAACGCATTGCTGCATGGGAGAAGTAAGCATATAGAGACAAAGTTTCATTTTGAAAGAAAGTAGGAACAAAGACATTTTTCTAGGAAATATCTAAAATTTTGAAAGCCAAAAGTTGCGAAAACATCTAAACACCCAATTCACTCTATTTATAAGCAATTGCAACTCAAATATCAAAACCAACTATGGAAAAAAGTCTCAAGACCAACGATTAGATTTCGAATCATGGATACACGCCAACTCGAATGCACTCAAGTACTCTTTAAAAATATTTTAGAAATTCCGTACATAATATAGATCAAAAAATCAATAGTATTAGCATGCCAACTCAGTGTATTTGCAATGTTATACGACCAAATATAAATATATGGTCTTACGATTAATTGTGCACAAAAATCTATAAGTAGTAAACTAACGAAAATGTTAATAGAAAAATCCATAAGTAGTAAACTAAAAAACACAAGAAATTATGCATGATTATAAGAGCACAATTTTTTCTCGTCCCACAACTTGTTGGCCTTGAAGATTTTCATTGATCCTTTCACGTGCAATTTAAGAGGACACAGGGTCAGACATCCAATCCATTGTGCCATGTTCTTTCCAACAGGGACTCAAAACCACTTGCTCAAGCTTTGAAACATATTTTAGAATATTTATAACAAACTCGATTTCAAACCAATTGCCAACACACCCTCCTAATTCAATAACCTTGACCTAAGGGCGATGAAGAAAGGACGAGGGCGTCCGAAAACCATGGTTCCCCCGTCACCACCATCGGAATCAATTGTCAGTTTGAAGACTCCTCACAATGCCATCTGACTCTAGCTCGAAGTCGCCTGAGTTTGGATCAAAAGCTGAGAAAGAGACGACAACCACAGCTGAGAAAGAAACGACAACCACAAGCAAAGATGCAACTAGAGAACCCCGAACAAATACGACACAAACTCAACCGGAGGATCAAAAACTATGGGTGGACATTATTAATGACAACCGAAACCCTACCAAGGGACTGACAATGGAATACATCGCACCAAAAGTAGTCAACGGAATGATTGAGATTGATATTGAACAAGAAGATATCAAAACAGAAATACGCTTTTGGGATAATGCCCTAATTCTTTATGTTGTAGGAGGTGATTTGAGTATGAACATGGTGAAGAACTTTATGCAGAGAATGTGGAATTTTGTGAAAATACCAGATCTTTATTACCACGACGACGAGTATTTTCTGCTCAGATTCAATTCCTAGAAAGACAAGGAAACTGTGAGGATGAAAGGTCCGTACACGATTCAAATATGCCCATGATACTAAAGGAATGGAAAATAGGGTTCAACCTAAAGAGGGGCCTGCTAAGAACGCTACCAATTTGGGTAAAACTCCCCCAACTTCCCTTGCATCTATGGGGAGCAAAAAGTCTAAGCAAGATTGGTAGTGCCATAGGTAAACCCTTGGTGACTGATGAATGCACGGCGAACAAGCTCCGTGTATCTTATGCAAGGCTACTGATTAAAGTGGACATTACACAACAATTGACTGACGAAATAGCCATAAGAAATGTTGAGGGAGATGTGATAATGCAGCCTGTGAAATATGAATGGAGGCCAACTTTCTACGAAACTTGTCAAAAACTGGGGCATACATATGAAGACCGGCGGCAGACTCAACAATGGAAACCAAAACCCAAGCCACCTGAAGCATCCAAGAACATCACGCCCTTCAAACAATCAGAAAAAGAGGAAGCAACAGGGCAAGTAGGTGAATCATGGAAAAGAGGGACAAAATCTGTACGAGATAAAGGTAAGAGCATAGTTATTGATACTAATGGAAACATCAGTTGTAACAATGGTTTTGAAGCTCTTGAGGTTATGAATGACCACCAAGGGGCAATAAACCTTGAACCATGTTAGTCTCGTGGAACATAAGGGGACTCAATAAAGTAGGCAAAAATTCATGAGATTAGGTCCCGTCTCCAAGAGCTTAACCTGCTATTATCATTTTAATTGAAACTAGAGTTAAAGAAGCAAAAGCCAAGGCCATTCATGAGAAACTGATGATATATGACAAGCACATTGATAACTATAAAGACCATACTAATGGTAGAATTTGGATTCACTGGGATAATAGCAGGATGGATGTGAGATTCCTTCAAAGCAGCAGCCAATATATACACTGTGGTGTCTATGACAGCAGTGGAGGCTTCAAATATTGGTTAACTGCTATATATGCTCACAACCAAACAAGAGAAGAATCCTTTGGAAAGAGATAGAACACTTGTCTTCCAACATCCAAGGTCCTTGGTGTGCTGTTGGAGATTACAATAATGTAACCAAAGCCCAAGACAGAATAGGAGGTAACCTTGTGACTGAAAAGGAGTATGAAGACTTGCAACACATGATGGGAAATACAGGGATGAGTGAAATGGATAACATTGGTGACCATTTCACATGGTCCAACAAACAAGCAGTCGGGCCGATCTATTCTAGGATTGACATAATTTTGGGTAATATTGATTGGTTTCTCAACAAAATGGAGAATATGCTGAAAATCCTCCCACCTAGTATCTCTGATCATGTCATGCTTTATCTGGAGGATAAACATGAACAAAGGAAACCTCTCAAACACTTCAAGTTTAGAAAATGCATTATTGATTTGTCAGGCTATGATAGTGTGATAAAGAATAACTGGGATGCTCATATCAGGGGAAGCCCAATGTATGTTATGTGGCATAAACTCAGGAGACTGAAACATGATCTAAAACAGCTCAGTAAACCTCTGTCTGATATTAAGAACAAGCTGATAGCAACTAGGGCAAACCTTAAAGAAACTCAAGGGAAGCTGAATGAGGACAGATTGAACAACACTCTAATTGAAGAAACAAAAGAGCTGACAGAGGAAGTGATTTCCATGAATGAACTGGAATGGAAAATTCTTCAGCAAAGGGCGAAAATTGACTGGATCAAAAAAGGAGATGGAAACAACCATTATTTTTATGCTGCTATCAAAAGCAGACAACATTCCAATTGCCTTACCAACCTTAGGAAAAGTGATGGCAACCTGATATCTACCAAAACAGAAATTAAGGAGGAAGTGATTAATTTCTACAGAAACCTAATGGGCAAGGATGTTAGCAGCATTGACCACATTGATGTGGAAGCCATGAGAATGGGAAAGCAGTTGAACCTGGACCAAAGGAATTACCTCACCAGAACCATTTCTGAAGCTGACATCACCAAAGCCCTTAAAGGGATGGGAGACCTAAAAACCCCAGGGCTGGATGGTTATGGTGCCAAATTCTTCAAAGCCAGTTGGAACACTATAAAAATTGATGTGATTGCAACAGTACAAGAGTTCTTTGAAACAGGTAGAATTTACAAGGCCTTCAATGTTATTGTAGTCTCCCTGATCCCTAAAGACCACAATGCTTGTGAAATAAAAGATTATAGACCTATAGCAATGTGTACAACTTTTTACACAATCATCTCCAAGATTTTGACTGATAGACTTGGTTCTGTTCTTTCTAGTGTGGTTAGCCAAAACCAGGCAACTTTCGTTCCATGCCAAAACATTCATAATCACATCATGCTTGTAGCTGAGCTCCTTAAGGGGTACACCAGAAAAGGGGGCACACCTAGAATTATGTTGCAAATTGATCTGCAAAAATCCCATGATATGGTCAACTGGACTGCTTTGGAATGTATCATGAAGGAAATGGGATTCCCTAACAAATTAATTCAGTGGACCATGCTAGGCATCACCACGGTTTCCTACAGATTTAGCATAATGAGGGAGTACACTAATACTTTACAGGCCAAAAGAGGGATCCGACAGGGTGATCCTCTATCCCCTATGCTCTTTATCCTCATGATGGAGTACATGAATAGGCTGCTGGTGAAAATGCAGAAAGACCCAAATTTCAACTACCATGCCAAATGTGAGAAGCTGCAAATCACAAACCTCACTTTTGCAGATGATGTACTGCTATTCTGTCAAGGAGATGACATGTCTTTGCAGTTGATTTTAAATACTTTCAATAAGTTCTCCAATTCCACAGGTTTGATAATGAACCCTAACAAGTGCAAAATATATTGTGGGGGTTTGGACAATGTGAGTAGACAGAATTTGAAGGATATGTCGAGTTTCCAAGATGGTGCGCTGCCGTTCAAATATCTAGGCATCCCTGTGTCTAGTAAGAAGCTAACCATTAACCACTTCTTGCCTTTGGTGGATAAAATTGTGGCTCGAATTCATCATTGGTCATCTAGACTCCTTAGCTATGCCGGTAGAATTCAGCTAGTCAAAAGTATTGCAGCTGCAACAGTTCAATATTGGATGCAATGCCTCCCTATGCCTAAAGCTGTGATCAGGAAAATAGATTCCATTTGGCGTAGTTTCATATGGACCGGTAAGGATTCTATTAGCAGAAAGTGTCTCGTGGCTTGGAATCGCACTTACTGCCCGACAACTCGGGGTGGTTTAAATTTGTTGAATCTGCAGATTTGGAACAAGGTGCTGCTCCTGAAATGTATTTGGAATCTCTGCAAAAAAAAACTGATAATTTGCGGGTTAAATGGATCCATACTCATTACCTGAAGGATAAAAGTGTGATGAATTACAAAACCAGAGCTCACAACTCTTGGAGTATGCGAGGTATTTTGAAACATCGAGATAACATGGGTGTAATCCGGAATGATTGGGATCAAATTGTGAATGCATAGAAGTTTAAAGTCTCGGTTCTTTATAAGGGAATAATTAATGATGGCACAAGGGTTCAGTGGAGAAATCTGGTTCAGTTCAACAAGGGGCGACCGCGTGCAGTTTTTTGCTTATGGCAGGCTTGCCATGGAAAGCTTGCGACCAAAGACAGGTTGAAACATTTTGGGATGCTTGAGGACAGCAACTGTAACTTATGCCAAGCCGAGGAAGAAACGATGAATCATCTTTTTTCTCTTGTCAAGTGACCAGTCACATATGGAAGGAAGTGCTTGATTGGTTTAACATTTCTCATGATCCTCGACCATGGGATGCTGAGCTGATTTGGCTCACCAATTTAACAAAGGGAAAGGGCTGGAAAGCTGAAATTTTGAGGATGTTAGTCGCTGAAACTATATACAACATCTGGGGATATAGGAATGGCAAAACTTTTGAAAACATTGTAGATAATACAACCACGATATCTAACATCATTGACTATGTGATCTATCGAGGGTGGAACAACATGAGTATTAGAAAATATCTTGTTAACTTTATGCTGTAATTTTTAGTCCGTTTTGTCGGTTGGATCACCTAGATCTGTACTGTCATTTTTTTTTGAATTAATATATTCGTTCCTTTATTCGAAAAAAAAATAACCTTGACCTTGTCGTGAGAAAATCTTTAAATATCTTCAATATCTTTTTGATTTTTAAGGAACTTTGGATTTGTAAACTGACAAAATTATAAACAAAACATTAATGTTAGTTTTATTTGCAATTGCATGTAGTAATCAAGTCAATATATAATGGATGAAAGGCTAAGTGCAATAAGCTCAAATGATGTGTTTTATTTGCAAGAAGCTCTAGGTCAAAAATTTAGTTATAAAGTGATGGATATAAATCAATCATACAATCAAACCATGTGTATTAACTATGTTTACTTACCATGATTGAAAGTTTCTGTAAAAGTGGAAAAACTTGAAGGATGTTTAGAATCCATAAAAGACTATAATCGGCTTCCTTTGAGATGGTTCCTTTCCATAAAAGACTCAAGTTCAATTGTTTAAGATGTTTGAGTAATTGAGTTATTTTTAGAGAAGTTATGACCTGAACAAATACATGTAAAATTGAAAATATAACTCAAATTTAAGAAAAAAAAAACATTTTTACAATACTTTAAAATTAACCGTCGAAGACATATTTATACTCATAATTTCAAGTTGAGGAAATTTTGAGAGAGCAAATATGTCAAGATCTTGTTCATATTCAATGACAAAGTCAATGGATTTCATCATAGGGGCATTAATGCTCATCTTAGTCAAGTCAGATCCATCGTACTCCAATGAAATTAATTTAACACAATCTAATAGAGTCCATTTTTCTTTCACTGGTATTCTATTTTAAGGGTCTATAATCATGAGACTTAATAAGGATGAACTTATTAGGACTGGTTTTGATGCTTTAAACTTATATGTATATAATTGAAGCTCTTTAAGAAGTCCATAAAGTGGTTTTATATTTGTGATTTTTCAATTATTCACTTTTTAGAGATGAAAT